AGTGGAGGCATGAGCATGTGAATTCTCTAAGTTCAGTTGGCAAGGAGGTATTTCTGGGAGAAGCAACACTGTATTTAATGCAGTTTACAGAAACATGTTAAATCATTGTCATTTTTGACAGGTCCCTTTAAAAATGTGTGTCAAATACTAAAATATAAGAATTTAGCTGAAAGGACTAGATTCCTTGCTAAGAAAAGTCTACACAGAGAAAGGACACTAGCAATCCTTTTTTTTTAAAGGTTCATACTCTCATCTGTGGCCTAGGGATGTGTACAGATGAAAAAGATTTACTCTCTCCTTCCACATCTTCCTTACATACTCAAACAAGTAAACTCTTTCTAAATTCCTTGTAGAGGAGGGAGGGTAAGGAGGACATAAAAGTCTAGGTGGGAGAAACTTTTGAAAATAGCGTCCTTTCCCCGACTCCACCTTCAGATATTATTGATGGAAAAGTATTGTCTGTGAAAAAGATAGAAAACTTGAGAATCACTCATTAAGTATCGAAGCACACAAACCAGATACCTTGATACAGTTAGTTTTAGGAGATACAGTAACTCCTACCTCATAAGCTAACCTTTGATAGTCTTGATAGCCTTTCACTAAGCAGAGATGGGATGCTTTTAGAGTGTGGTTTGAACCACTGTATCCTGTACCTGAGTTTAGGCAGTAATAATTCCTGTTAGGGATGAGTCAGCTGTGTTGTTTTCCAGTGTCACCAAGGCAACATACATGACTGAACCACAACTAACACAGAGATCAGGAAAGTTGTATAAAGATGCATGTGAATGTCGGCATTAAGATTGACAGAATTAACGACCACTTTATCCTTTTTACCCATAATTGAAAGAAACATTACTCTTCTGGAGAAGAAATGTGCTCTGGTACTTCTGAAACACATCCTATGATAAATTGTATTTTACTTCAGTAAAATGTATTTTATTGATGCTTTATTACAGAAAAGCATCAGTTTTTAAGCCCTAAAAGATATTTAGTGTGGATGTTTTATTTTAATAAGCATCAGGTAGCAGGGGCATAAAGTCTGAAGGGAAGGGAGTTAAGAACTTAATAAGGCCAGAGAATCTCTATCTTTTTATATTATTATCACTAATGTCTTAGATACTTGATAATTAACACTAGTATGAGAGTAGTGCAATCAAGAATACAGAATTTGGACAGGACTGCAAAAAAGAAAGTTTGTTATCCTTAGAAAGCCAAATGTCTCCACCTTCTCAGGGTTACTAATGCTGTTTTCCCATGGTTTCTTGGAAGATACCACTGTTTTCTCTGGGTTCTTTCCAGGTGCTTTATTGAGAGAGCAAGATGGAGGAAAAGGAAAATAGTGAAAACAGCTTTACCATGGAAGGACGGGAAATACTGACCTCAATATGCTTCTGTTCTTTCTACGTGAAACTGTCATAAATATAATTGTGGCGGAAGAAGGATGGTCAGAAAATGTGGCATTAGTCACTTGCTGATTTCTCTAGCACAATAATTCTCAAATATATTCATCCTAAATCCTTATCTTTATACCCTAAATCAGCACTTCTAAAACTTTGGTGAAGGAACAAATTTTAAAATTTCCAATCCACTGCAAACTTTTGTAAAAAACACAGTAGAAATGAGTTACCAGAAAATTAAATTTTTTAAAAACAATGAATACAAAATATAAGCACTAAAAGTTTACATTATTGATTTCAACAGACACAAAATATTCTGTCAAATTGCTATTAAAGTTTATAAATGCTTGTTCTCAACTTCTATACCTACCTTGCTGCAAGTGGGTAACAAACTATTGCTAACTACAGTCTGAAAAGAACTGTCCTAATAGCACACATATCCACACAGGACACAAACATCACAGCAGCACACACACAAAAACATCAAAATATAGTTAATTTCTATCCATTTAAAAAAATAATTTAAATTTTTATTAAATTATTGTATTACGTATATTTAACTCACTTCATACCAAAAAAGCTAATGAGAAAACAGCAGTCTCCTTCCCTACCTCTCCCTGTCTTCTAATGCCTACCTGGAATGGCAGATAGCTGCCCAGCTACCTAACAATCACACCTGTCAGACAGGCTATCAATGCCAGTCCCCCTCCCCCAGCCTGATCTTCCTCCTAGAGCTCTCCTCTTCCTCCCCCTCACAGCTGCTGCCCTGGCTGTTCCCTCTGCCTCTCTTCTACTCAGGGGTTCCCTTTGAGATAGACTGTACTAACCATTCAAAATATTTGCTGCTCCTGCACTGGGATCGATTAAACTTCCTTGCTCCACCAACATCAGGCTTGGCTATGACTCTAGGGAAGGATTTTACATCTCTGCCTTGTTAAATTCAGAAGTGACCACATGACTTGCTTTGGTCAAAGACATTCCAAGGTGGAAGTTTAAGAAACAGATCTATCATCTCCCTTTTCCCTCTGCCACAAGACTACCAATTTCTCAGACAAAGGCTCTTCCATCAGCCTGGGTCCCATTATGAAGGTGACAAGGAGTAGAATTACACAGTAGACACGTTGGGTGAGAAGAAATAGGCTTATGTTGCAAATTATGGAGAGTTTGGTGTTGTTTGTTTACTGCATTCATGGCCTAAGCTGCCAGATACACCCTTGTTTCCTAGGTCTTCTTTTTTTGGTTTTACTCCCTCATTTTGGTAATGCATAACTTCCAGTAGTTTCCTGAGAAAGTGTTCATGACAGGCGAAGACCTAACGTGTCTGAAAATAATAATTTGAAATAATTTTCCGTCAGAATTAGAAAGCATTGAGACTGTGTCTTCCAGCTTCCAGTGATGCTGCTGAGACCAGTGTTGTTTTCACTTCTATTCCTTTGTATGTACTTTCATCCCCTCCCAGAGGCTTTGACTGGATGCTCTAAAATTTTATGGGCATGTGCTTTGACATCCCTTTTTCAAGAGATCTGAATATCTCTATCTCCATGCTCATGTTTTTCAAATCCAGGAAAGTATCTTCAATATTTTTCCCCTTAAGATCATCTTTTATTTCTTTTCTTAAACAAGAATTTAGTTTATTAAAGTTATACATGCTCATAGTTTGCAGTCAACTGCCCTCTCACTGAATACTTACCCTTCCCCAAAGAGCCACGGTGAATTTTTTTTAGCTAATTCTTCGGAATTGACCTCCATATGTCTATATAACATGTTTTAATTGTAGTAACTTGATATTCTGCTTTAGGCATTATTCACTGACTTTTCATTATGGAAATGAAGATTTATTCTCCTCTTCCTCTGCACACTCACCACATACATGCTCCTTTTACTATCTGTCATAACTTTAATTAGATTAATAATGAATATTTACATTATTAGAACCCTGTGTTCTAGTTAGATTTGAGCCATATAATAACTTTGATTATTTTTCCTCTCCTGACAAAAGTTTTGTTTTCCCTGGAGTTAATAACTGTATTTACTTTTTTTTTTTAACTGTTTCTTAAGCACATATCACTAATTCAAAACTCTCTACTTGTCTAAATCTCATCTCAGTACAACAGACTTCTAGTTGGTTGGTTGATTGTACAGTTTATTGGTTTCTCTCTTTCATGCTGAACAAGTTCCTTAAATTCATTGGAATACCCCCAAATGAAGGTCCTTTCTTTGCATTTCTCAAGATAGAATAATTGAATATATTTTACTTAGCAGTTTGTTAGCTTGATTTATAACTTTTAAATATTTGGACAAATGTTCTGTAGGTCTCTCTTTGTACTCTTTTCCTGGGCTCTGAAAATGGGATAAAGTAGGCATGGCTGCTAATTCCTGAACCCTTCTAGGTTTCTGTCGGGCAAATTGGCTTCCTTCTCATCCATATCCATATTTAGGTACCAGTTTCCCCAACTCTGCCAAGTCAGTTACACCTCTTCTATCCATCCCATTTTCTAAACATGTGCTGAATTCTCTCAACTGCCACTGTCTGCTCTTCTGTTCTTTTGTCCTTGAGGGGTTGTGTATCTTATTGCCGCTGTAACAAATTGCCACAAACTTAACAGCTTAAAACAACACAAATTTATTTTCTTATAGTTCTGGAGGTCTAAAGTCCAAAATCAATCTATGTGGACTAAAATCAACATGTTAGCAGGGCTGCATTCCTCCAGGAAACTCTAGAGGAGAATCCATTTCTTTGCCTTTCCTACCTTCTACCGGCTGTCTGCATTCCTTGGCTCGTGACTTCATCCTCTACCTTCAAAGCTAGCCACAGAGTATCATCTAATTTTTCTCTCTCTCTCTCTGACTCTAATTATCTTGCCTCCCTCTTTCCCTTATAATGAGCTTTGTGATTACATTGGGCCCACTCAAATAATCCGGGATAATCTCCCTGCATCAAAATCCTTAACTTAATCACTTCTGCAAAGTCCTTATTGCTATGCAAGATAGCATATTCATAGGTTCCAGGAATTAAGACATGAGTATCTAAGGGGGAACCATTATTCTGACTACCATAAGGGTTTATACTCCTTACTCCTCTACTGTGGGTGCCAGGAATGAGCAAAGCAAAAAGTACGTGTTCAATCATCTTGTTTGATCAGGAGACCAAATGGTATTTGTCCTGTTTCCAATCTTTGGGACTCTTTTCATATTTTTTTTCTCAAGTAGATATAATAATAGTGTAGGAATAATAATAGAAATAACCAAATATCACCAAAGCCCTTAACCCATACATGAGATTAGGATAGGCCCCAGAAATGTTTTCATAAACACTGAATGACACTGTTTAGGAGAGAATTTGGCTGAGTACAAATGGGAAGAAAATGAATAAAAGTGGAAAACAGAACAAATGAGTGGGGAAAAAAACTTTTTTGAAGAAGGTGTTTATAAGATCATGAAATATGGTTGTCACTCAGTAATATGGGTGTTAACCATGGATTAACAGACAAGAATCAAAGACGGGAACAGAAAGACAACATCACACATGAAAAAAAGAAAAAAAAAAGAAAGCTAAATTTAGAATTGGAAGTTCTAAACTCAAACCCCAATTCTCAAACTTACAGTTTGATCTTGCACAGGTCAATTAGGTATCATGGTTGTACAGCTGAAGAAGCTGAAACCCAAAGAAATTATCTCAATTTAAATTAGCAGAGATATATATATATATATATATACATGAAAGACCCCAGGAAGACACTGACCACATAGCATTTTAATGTCAGTTGAACTTGAAGCAGAAAGAGGAACTAACTGAAAACTAGCATTATGGCAAATCCAACAGCTGGAAGACAGACTAAAAGAAAATTATCTTTCCCATTTCTAAAAAGATGGACCAGTCTGGTCCCAAGAAAATTCACTTTCATGCATGGGTTTGATTGCAGATATTCTATACTTATTCATTCAAAAAAATTTTACTGCAGTCCTCCAATGTGCCAAACACCATATGAGGCATTAAGGATAAATCAGTGAATAAAGCAGACGCAATCTCTGCTCACAGACGTTACGGTCTAGCAGGGAACTAGAAAATTAAATAAATATGACACGTAAGGGTGATCGGTGCTTTGATGAAAACCAAAACATGGAATTCAGGCACTTAAACCAGACTGGGGTGGGGAGTTGGGCAGAGTGATCAGAGTTCATGACACACCCTTCAGAGCTCAGCTAAAGAGCAGGAACTAGTACAGCAAAGATGAAGGGGAGTGGTTAGGCACAGTGTTTCAAGGAGCCTACTCCTTTGCCTAGGAAGAGCGACAAGGGATCCTAGAAGCTTGTTAGCCTGATTCTTGTGTCATGCATGAAAATGGCAATAGAACCAATATGAGAAGAAAGTGCATGGGTTACTATGGTGCTTTCAGAATGACAGACTCACAATGATGAAATTATAAGTACTTTGCTTTCTTCCCAAAGTAAATTCCCTCCCCTACTTTTCATCCTACAGGTGGGCAGTGGAGCACAGCAGCTAAGAGGGCAGGCTCTGGAGCCAGGCTGCCTGCCTGGATTGACACACTGACTCTGCCACTCGCTAGTCTAAGACCTTGGAGACATTTCTTCACCCCTCTATGCTTCAGCTTACTCATCTATAAAATGCTCCTGCTGTTAATATGTTCCTCACTGAGTTATTATGAGGGTTAAATTAGTTAATAAATCAAAAGTGTCTAGAACAGTGCCTGGCACAAAGTAAGTGCTCAATAAATTTTCATTTGTTGCTGCTACGGTTTTGCTTTTTTGGGGGAGAAGGGGAGGTCATTAGGTCTATTTATTATTAGCTTTTTTTTTTTTAATGGTGGTACTTGGGATTGAACCCAAGACTTCGTGCATGCTAAGCATGCACTCTACCACTGAGCTATACCCTCCCTCACTGCTACTGGTTTTAATTGCCATCCACTGGCCTTTTGTAATTTCTAGAAGAATAAGAGGCCATTTGACTTTGTTCACACGGTATTGCTTTTAGTCACAAGGAAAATGAGAATGCAGCAGTACTAGTAGCTTACCATTTGGTCCACAAAATAGAAATTAAAAGCAACCAGAATCTTGTTGATCAGTTCTTCGGTTCTGACTCTGGAAGGTGGGGAGATCAGAAAGCTTCAAAGAGGTCCTCACCTCGTTCAGGCTATATGGAACTGAGGCAGAGATGGCAGAGAGCGCAGTCATGCTGAAATCAGGCCCCACAAGAAGGCAATAGTTTGGTGGACCCACCATGATTCAGGCTGCAATACAGAAACAACATTTATAGATACATACAGAGATGATCAGCCTGAGGGAGACCTTTTTATACAAAACAATGCCAGGATATTAATATTAAATTCAGAGTTTCAACTGCATTCACTCAACAAACATTTGAGCGCCGGTTAAATACAAGACACTATTCTAGATGTTAAGAATGTAGCAGTGAAAAAAGATACAAAAGGCAAACACAATAAATGAACTAAGCACACAGCATACCATAGCATAGGTGCTCTGGAGAAAAATAAAGCAGCAAAAGAAGAAAGGGAGGACAAAACAGCAAAGACAGAGGTGGGGTACAGGGTGAACGACTTTCATCAGGGTAGTAAGGGAAGGCCTCACAGAAATGGGGATGTCTGAGCAAAGACCTGAGGAGGCGAGGAGGACATGGAAACATCTGGAAGGAGAATCCTGAGCAGAGAGAATAGCAAATGTAAAGTACTTGAGGAGAGTGTGTCCAATGTGTTTGAGGAACAAGGTGGTCAACGGGCCTGAGCAGAGACAGGTAGGGGAAGAAGAGCAGGAATTGAGATCAGAGAGGAAGTGGGGTCTTGTAGGCCAAGCTGTAAGAATCATAGCTTTTTCTGAGTGATATGGCGACCTACTGGATAGTTTTGAACAGAAACGTGGTGTGGTCAGCCTTATGGTTTAAAAGGATCACTCTGGCTGCTGGGCTGGGAAAAGAATGAAGGTTAAGGGTGGCTGATATAAAATCCTACTAAAAGGCAACAGTGGCTTAGACCAAGGCTGTATCAGTAGAGATGAGAAGGGTGGTCATACATTCTGAAGAGACAGCAGAAGGATTTGACGACAGATTGGATGTAGGGTGTAAAAGGGTTGTTGAGTAGGTTTTAGCAATGGGAATGATGGAGTTGCCATTAACTGAGATAGAAAAGGTTAGAAGTAGAGAAGGTTTTTGAGAGGGGAGATCAGGAGTTTAGTTTTGGATGTAATAAAATGGAGAGGTCTGTTAAATATCCAAGTAGAGACACAGAGCTTCTTGGATATACAAGACTGAACCTGAGGCTAGGGAGTTGTGAGCATATTTATCACATCTAATGCCAGCAGACTGAATGAGATCACTAAGGGAGAGTATAGAAACAGACGAGGTCCAAGGACAGAGTCTTGGGACATTACAGTATTAAGAGGTCAGTAAGCAACGGAGATTGCGAACAATGACCAGTAGTGCACGATGAAAATCAGGAGAGTGAAGTGCCCTGGAACACTGAAGGAAAAAGTGTAACAAGTGAAGGAAGTGTTACAGAGAGGAGGGGGTGATCCACGTGTCAAATGCTGCTGATAAATCAAGTGAGATGAAGACTGAGAACAGGTCATTGGATTAAGCAACATGGAGAGCAGTTTCGTTCTGGGGGCAAGAGCTAGCTGGAGTGGATTTAACAGAAAATAAGAAAAAAGGAATTGGGACAGTAAATATAGAACTCTTTCAAGGATATTTACTGTACAGACAGCAAAAAATAGGACATTAGCTAGAGAATAAAGTAGCTGTGGAGAGTTTTTTGTTGCTGTTGAAGATTAATTGTAAGAAGCAATATATTAATTCACATAGGGAACTGTAACTAGTAAACAGACCAGAAATAGATGTAACAGATCAGTGCCTTATCTTCTCTGTTGGAAAACTATTTGGAAAGTACACTTAAAATCACAGGATTACTTCATAAGCATTGACAACAGCTCCACCTTGCACTGTTTCTGATTATGAAGTCTCAAGCATTTCTCTGTGCTGCAGGGGAAGAGCTGCTAAGCAGAACAGACGCTTTAATCAGCTGGGCTGGGTACCTCTTCCTTGACCAGCACTGGAGTATCTCTAAACATCCACTCATTCTTTCATTCAAGAAACATTACTGAGCGCTTATCATGTCAGTTACTAGGGATGCAAGTTCAACAAAACAAAACTTTGCCCTAAGGGAGCCCATGGTTCACTAAAGGATGCAGATAAACAAATAAATAGTTCCAACGTAATGTTAACAGTGTACATGTAAGGGACAAAACTTGAATTAAATAGCTAACTGTTTCGTATGGGGACATTTGGGTTATTCCCTCCCCCCACCTTTTTCTGCTGTTATAGGTAGAGGGGTGTCCAGAATTTCAATTGCTTCCAGCAATACTCATTGGTATTTGTTACATCAAAATTATAGGAAATCTTACCAAACAAGAAGGAAACCTATCACATACTTCTTAATTTTAACTGCAAAAACAACCATGAAAATAAATCTGAACAGTATGAACTGCCTGAACATAGACAAGTTTGAAATTCATTCCACAAAGATACAGAGATCACCTATTATATCAGGGTATGGTTCCAACTGTTTGAGATATATCAGTGAACAAAACAAAGACAATGCTTTTTAGAATGTGTATTTTAGCAGGGGAGCCAGTCAACAATAAACATAAAAAGAAGTAAAAATAGATAGTATATTTGAATACAGCAATAAGTGACACAGGAAAAAATAGAGGTGGTTGAGTTAGGTATCAAGTTGTAATTTTAAAGAGTATTGTTAAGACCTTAGTGAGAAAGTGACATTTCAGTAAAGACCTGAAGGAGGTAAGGGAGTTAGCTCTCTTGCTATCTGGAAAAAGACATTTTAAACACTGAAACAGCCCCAAAGTGCTAAGAAGGAGTGTAGCTTGTGTCTGACAAAAGGAAGAAGTAGGGGACCTTCTTTAGAAGCAACTACAGTAATCCAGACAAGAGATGAAGGTACTGTACACCCAGCTCACTTGCAGTGGAGGTGGTAAGTAGTCAGTTGTTGGATAAATAAAAGCCAATAAAATTTCCTACAGGAAAAATTCAGGATGTGAGAGAAAGGAAGGTACTAAGAATCATAACAAGATTTCTAACCTCAGCAATTAAGATGGGAAAGGCTGCAGGTACAGATGTGGGAGGGAAAATTAGTTCAAATTTGGACATACTGAGTTTGAGATGTCTCTTAGACACGTCCATAGCACCTAGGATCCCCTTGACTTCCTTGCTTATGAGCCTTTCGCCACTTATTTTGTCCCCACTGCCATGACGGACCATCCTCAGGCAGTAACCACTCAATACTGTTTTGCCTCATTCTTAGACCACACAGCTCACACAAGAGTCCATTTGGTGCCCACACAAAATGGAAGTACGTGTGTGCTGAGGATGACAGTAGTGTTAGCATCCACTGATTGAATCTTAATCCCCTTTCCTGACTCACTTCTTTTGCCTGCCCTCCTGCCCTTGGGGTTGGACTCCCTAAGAACACAAAGCCTTTGCCTCAGATTCTGCTTTCTGGAAAAACCAGCACTAAGACAACATCCAAGTGGAGGTGTGAGTAGGTTGTTGTTTAAATGAGTCTGGAGTCTGGGAGAGTGATTTGGGGAAAAGATATAATTTTGAGAGTTGCAGTCATGAGACCATAAGAGAGCATGAAGGAGTGAACAAAAAAGAAAAATGAAAATTTTATTCTAGTACCCTTCAGAGCAGGAATAATGTTTTATTTACTGTTATAGCCCCAATCTGGGGAGTGCAGGCACAAAGTAGGTGTTCAACTGGTACTTTTAGAATAAATAAAATAGGTCACCATGGCCTTGGGGTTAGGAAAGAAAACAAATTAAGTCATGAGAGGTGATGAACTAGAACAGGCAGGGTTCATGGAACCTGAGTTCACAGTGACGGTGAAAATTAGGTTCAGCAGCGGAAGCAAGAGAGAAAAATAACAGGAAAAGGAAGCTGTGGTAAGAAAAAAGCTCTCAAATACCACTTTCTCCTTGAAATCTTTTATAATCATCTCATGAGACTGTCCCCCTTTTCTGGACCTCTCTCAAGGCAGTGATCTATCTTACCTATCTTATACCAGGTCAACGTATATCCATGTGTTCTTTGTTCTCCCCAATTTCCAAGTGAAAAATTGAGTCAAAAATGGGAGTAGCTTCCAAGCCCCAGAGATTTTAAAAAAGGATGCTAAAGTTTGACGTTTCTAGCTCATTTCTATGGTGTCTGAAGATGCCAGCGTGAATACCCGAAATTGGGAGACTACATTTCAAATCTGAAGTGTATCCAAAGTGTTCAGTAAAATAATTCACGCTTGAATGGATGATTGAATGAATAATGAATAACAAATTTAGGTGAGAACAGAGGCCAGGAGAATAGAAGTTAAGGAGAATACATGAATTAGTAACTGTTTGAGACCCACTGCTCTGACAGCAGGGCACAAGTGATTAGGGGAAGTGGGTCTGCCCTCAGAAAGCACCTAGAAGTTAGCAAAAGTAACTAAGGCATGAAGAGGGCCTAAATGAAGGTCAGTGTGAATAGAAAGGAAGAATATGGGAAAATTTTACAAACACACACACAAAAAAGTTCCATATTTCGTGGGTAGTAAGTATAGGTTATGAGTAAATAATTCCAATATTTGGAATCATGTATAGGGCCAGGGTAAGAAGAGCAGGGAGATGCTAAGCTCAATTTTGAAACTGTATTTGACATAAGAGTGAGATACACAAATAAAATAGGCAACGTTTTAATTAACATTTATGACATGTCAAACATTGTGTCAAGTACACTTTCCATGAATGGCCTCACTTAATTATCAAAATAACACTATGATGGAGGCACTATTACTATCTTCATTTCATAGATGGGAAAACTGAGACACAAGAGTATGCCCAGTACCCAGCTAGTAAGTAGCTGAGCCAGGATTTGAACTCAAAAATACTAAGAATTTTTGCCCAGGACCACATATTCATTATTTGCTCAATAAATATTTAATGAGCACCACTACATTCTAGACATTGTGCTGGGGATACAAGGGGTGGAGAAATGCTGGTGGTGAACAAGACAGACATAGTCCCTACCCACAGAGACCTTTACGTGGACATTAAACAAATAATTAGAAGTATGTTGAATCAGAAAAGAAAGAGTTAAGTTACAGTGAGATAGGATGAGTGTGTGACAGAAAAGAATTCCAGGGGGAGGGAATAGCACATATAAATACCTTGAGGTGAGAGCCAACAGTAGAAAAAAAGAGAAAAGAGGCTGGAAAAAATAAAAAGACTAATATGACTGGAGTGCAGAGAGCTAGGGGGACCACTGGGGAGGCTGGAGAGAAGACAAGCCCAGATAATGGAGGGCCTGGTTACATGATAAAGACTGGGATTGTGCTCAGTAAGCAAAGGGAAGCTACTGAAGGAATTCAAGCACGGTAATGACTTGATCAGATTTGTATTTGTTAAAAATGACTCTGGCTGCAGTATGACAAATGAATTGGAAAGGGCCAGAAGCAGTTTCATAGGACCTGGATGGTAGTTAATGCAGAACTTCAAGAAAGAGATAAAGGTAGTTTAAACTCGAGTGGGATTTAAAAAAAAAAGTGGTCATAAGAACTGAGAGAATCTAATTTTTGAAGGCAGGTCAAGGTGATTCTGACACGTGTTGGGGTGTTGTAGGTTTCTGAACTGAGTAGATGGACATGATGCCCTTTACTGATCCAAGGGCTATGACACGAGGGTTCTGGAAAGAATATGATATATGAGTTGAGTCTGACACGCCCTAGTCATCCAGATGAAAGTATAGCAAAGGCAGTTGTAAATATAAATCTAGAATTCAAGAGTAAGATCTAGGCTTGAGTTATGAGTGGGACAGTCTTTGGGAGAGGGTATTTGAAGCTACTGCAAAAGGATGAGCCCACCTAGGAAAGTGCATATGGTGGGACTTAAGAAGAGCGCTCACCTCAGCAGGATTCCAATATTTAAGAGTTGGCTAAAGGAGGAGAGCATGGTTGTTAAAGAACGACCAGAGAGGGAAGGGGAAAATGCTAAGAGCAGGGGGAAGAGGATGTGTGGATGAGGGTGTGGGCAATGGTGTAAGATGCCACAACGAGATCTTGTAAGATGAGGGCTGAAGCTTGTCTGTGACAATTCAGAGCTGCTTCAGGTGTGTGGTAAGAACAAAAGCTAGACTGGAAACGGCTGAGGAGTGGGACATGAGAGAAAGTCCATGGGGTGAGACAATTGCGGTTGCAGAGGGATTTAAAGAGAGAAGTCTTCTCAAAGAAATGAGAGACTGAAGCATATTCAAATACTAGACAGAAACGCCAGTAGAGAAGAAAAAGTTGAAAATAACGGAAGGAAAGGGGGATGTTCTTGAATCCAAAGAGAAAGCAGGACGGGATCTAGAGTACCAGGTTAGAATACCAGGCTTGGGAACTCTCTTTTCAACGAGAAATCAATACGGGGCGGGTGCTCAGATTTGAATCCGCTCTGCTTCCTAAAACGTTTTCTTTAAGGGACGGAAAGAGAATTATAATAGACACAAAAGCCCAAGGAGAGGGCTGCCGAGTGCAATTAAAAAAAAAGGATAATGGAAAGTCAGGATAGTGGTCTTGGGTGACCTCTGAGAGAGCAGTTGCAGCAGCTTCGAGGCAACGGAAGTCACACTACGTGTTTAGACGGGGGGTGGGGGGTGAAGAAAAAGGTGCAGCGCGTGCAAACCAGAGCTGTAAAAGAAAAACGGCTGTGAAAAGAAAGCGACACAGGATGGTGCCAGGAAAAAAAAAAAAGGCGGGCAGGTGGGGGAGGAGGGGAAGACATTTCGAAGGTGCCCAAGGGCAACCTTAGTCAGGGCAGGTCTTGGCTCGGAGGCCGAAGTAGGCCTCAGATGTGACCTACGGGCCCGGCCGCCCTCGCTGCGGGGCTGAAACCCGCCAGGTGACGCCAAGTCCCCGTGCCTCCACCCCCCGGAATAGAATAGCCCCTCCGGCGGCCACCAGCCTTCTCAGCGGATTCGCAGAGCCGGGCAGCCCGGCC